CAGAGCGCGGGGAACAGTTCGCAGTGGAGGAGGTACGTTTGCAATGCCAGCTGGAAAAGGAACGGCTTGCGGTGCCGGGAGTGGGACGGACGGACGGACGATCTAACCGGGTCACATCTGTTTGCGGAGCGCCGGTGCAGCACTCTACGGTCACGGCCCGGAGATGCAGCACCGTTATCAATTGGTGACGTCATAAGGCCGAGCCGCGGGCGCGACTAGGAAGAGGAGTTGCTATAGGCAAATTGATGGACCAGAAAAGATTGCTCGGTCGCGGTACGATACATATGAATTTGGCATCATTTACGCTCATAATCCATACACATTACACAATCCGCATTTTCTTCTCTTCTTTTTATCACTGGAGGCGGCACAAGACACGCTTTTGTTTTTGTTTGATACCACTTCTTGTTTTAGCTTCTCATCACAACCAAGCTCGCAACAGTTCGGAGACGAAGTTTTACGGGCTCGGATGGAGTGCGTCATACTTGACAAAATCACACAACACGGATTCCACGCACCTCGCCAACAGAAATGTTTGCACTTTGTTACATGTTCATCTGCTCACTCGCGTTACTTTTCGTGTGCACAAGGAAAATTTGTACATAATGTTTAGCCTATGAATGTTTTCACGTAACACCTGACAAAAATGAGGTTCCATATATACATATGCCTGCAGCCCATCCCACTGGTGAGCTTTTCCGGGATCGCATGTCTACCTACGTCCTCATGAAAGTCGGTCTGAACGTTTCCAGTCAAACGCAATGACCTAGAAACCCTTTCATCGAGGTTTTACGAGTTCAACTGACTTATACATGGCGTTCATGGCCTCGGTACTGTAACCCCGAGGTCAAGTCGTGAAGCCCTCGTGACCTCTCGGTTATATCGTGACCTGACCCTCGCTTGCATCACACGACAACTCACGGCGCTCAAAGATGCGTCAGCGGGCGCCAGCTGGAGCCCTGGGACGGCTAGCCCGCGCCCCGTAGGGGGGGGGGGGTCCTTTTCGGTCGATATCTCCTAAACGGCTGGAGATATCGCCACTAAACTTTCAGGACCCCTCCGGGCATCAATTTTACACATTGTGACCAAAAATTTTTCCAGAGGCTATGATAGGTTGGCCACAAATGACGTCAGAGTGACGTCATGTTCTGTCATTTTCGACCGAAAAAAGACCTTCGCGAGAAGACCTGTCAGGACTACAGCTTTGAAGATGCAGAAAAATGATCAAGACATAAAAGGTGTAGAATTGACAGAGCTACAAAACTGCTGTCTCGAATTTTTGAAATTTTTGAGTTTTGACCCCCAAAAATCAAAAAAGCATTTTTTTGGATATATTCGCCAAAAAAATCCAAAAAGTTTTTTGAGTTTCGAAAAAACCGGAATATATGTAATAGTTCCTACCGTCTTCTATCTACATACCGAATTTCAGATCGATACCTCGTTTTTTTCCAAGTTATAGCGAAAAAACTGTTCAAAAATGATGACGTCAAATTTTCAAACTCAATTTTTGGCAATTCTAGAACTCGTAGAGCAAAACGAAGACCACAATTAGACTCCCCGTGACGAGCTGCATCGAATCGATACCCATTTTATGCAAAAATATCAACTTTGAAATTTGACCTAATTTGACCTGACCTTGACCTGACCTTCACAAAAACGTGACCTAGGCTGGCCCCAAAGGCTGCCTAACCCACATAATCGCATTTGTCATGTAAAATGGACCATAAAACATGTATCACACGACACATTCATATTGTGACCCCCGGTGACCTGACCTCGCTGTGACCTGACCTGGTATCAGTGACCTCAGATAGCAAAGTATGTGTTTGACGAACAATGCACAATCGATGGTTTTCAATAAATTACCAATTTACTCGCTTTCACAGCACATTTCTTGAATTGCCTGTGAACGGTGAAAATCTGACCTTTGACCTGACCTGTGACGTCATCAGTTTGACCTAGGTCAATGAAATTTGGTCACAAGGTAGTTCCCGGGTGGGGCTATCGAACGCCGTTTGAATTTTGAAAATCGGCCGGTAACTTTCCGAGATCTTAGGGGGGGCCGATACGCCCCCCCCCCCCTACGGGTGGCAGGGTCCGCCGGTAGCCCTACGGGGCGCGGGCTAGAGGCCTAGGAGCAAGATATGAAGCCCCAGTCGGTGGCTGAACGCCATGCACATGTTTGGAAGGGATAGATAAGCTACAATCCCCCGACTTCAAGAGATGACGTAAAAGTGAACCAATCTCGCATAGTTAGGTCGTCTTCCAAATGCTTTCCGCTTCCCTCCTGGCTGCTGGCATAAGACTTCAATGATCGTTCAAAACAAGAAGGTTGGTCGACGAGAAAGAAATTCTGAGATCTTTCTCATGAGCTTTGACAGTTCTACCATGGATGAAGGGTTCTTTCATTCATCCATGGTTCTACTTCCTTTGTCAACTTCCCGACAACTAACACATGCACGATAAACTCAGCTAAAAATAGCCACCCCGCAGAGAGAACGTTTAGCTGGCACTGTCATCACCAGTTTAACGAAGCAAAGCGTCGTATCACAGCTGCCCCCTCGCCGCCTGCTCATGAACCGCCGGTATAAACCGGCCTTTAGCACGGCCGTCTCCCCTGCAGAGTGCCGACAGTCTGCGAAACGAGCGGCGCTCGGCGCCAGTCGTGTCACGGCCGATCGCCGCGGTCGTCACGGTGCAGCCTGACAGTGTCGGTGACGCGTCAGTCGGCGACAGCCAAGTAACGACAGTCTGCAGAGCCGACAGAACCGACAGCAGGCCCAACAGCAGCCCCGACAGTGGTGCCGACAGTCTGTCGGTAGTGCTGTTTGCAGTCGGAGCAAGCTTTCACTTCGTTTGCAGGGCGGCGGTCGCTCATCTCAGCGATTGCTCCAGTTTGGGTTACGTCAGACGAGAGTAAGTCGTATTGATGCAACGGCCTCAGGTTTCATATGCTCAGGGTCTACGGGTGCACGGCTTCATCTCCAAACGGTGGCGTCAGCGTTTTGTTTGTCAGTGCCAAGAAACGAAAGAAATAGCAATAAGGTCGATGGTGCTCGTTCAAGCATGGACAAACATGGACCTTTCATGAGCTATGACACTGTACATATGTATTGTTGGCGTTTAATAATATGCAGCTGTTATGCCGTCGACAATGTGCTACATGCTATTCGATGATGATGCCACATTTTAGAAGCTGCAAAATGGTAGCAAGGACGTTCATGAGAAAATGGAGCCACCTCGCGAAGTAACTACTGTAGGCACATGTCATGGTCAACCCATTCAATGCTGCATAAAACGACTAAAACGCCGAAGTAATGGAATGGTGTGATAGAAGATGCATTGCTATGCTCATAATTGCTAGATGCATGCTTCTCAAGACATGCTATACCATGGTGCCGCGAAATAGCTGACACTGAACCTAAATAGAAGATAGCATTCAGTCTCCTTATCAGCGCCAGCGTCATCAATCATTGACAGCTGTAAGGTGTCCGGTAGGTATGTAGTACCCTACGCTATCAAGCGGCCACTATCATCTATGAATCAATAAATGATAACGGTTCGTCCTTTGTACATATGTATGTTAGAAGGCAGTCCAATATAGGAAGTGCTAACATACCGGCGCAATAAATAATGCACAGAAATGGCGAGCGGATAACGAAAACAAAGGCTCTCGGAATACGGTAATGAAAAAAAAAATTAATAAATGTCAGGACGTGTCAGCGATGTTTCGTATATATGGCAAAATAATACCAGCCCAAGCCCGAGTCTACATGTCTATTTTTTTTTCAAAATTCCAATGTAACTACACGTGGCATATCACGAGTCACCAAAGTGAGGATTGAGGGACTTCTAGGAAACGTCTGCTACAGAAGACAGCAGAAGCTGTCATGTCGCGTTTCTGAAATATTATTAATGTTACTCGGAAACGCTGCTTGGAGTGACCTTTGCTTCTAAAGATAGCTCGACTTCTCCCCACACAAGAAACCTAATTAGGCAAATGTCTCTTCAGCTCTTTGTTCACGATCTGGCGCGGAGTCACACATTTCTACTGCAGCTGCAGCTGCTGAAGGTAACGTTCCCATGGGTAACGTCGCATTCGTTACCGCGGCCCGAAGGGAGGGAACGGGAGGGGATGGTATGGGCACACCCTGTGACCCGGATTTGGGGCAAAACAAACACGATAAGATACTGCACAATCGCGTCAGGCCTACCGGCCGTCGAAAACTGTATCGGACCATATGTGAGTGAAATTAGTTATCGCAACGCCGGGGTAGTACTACAATTCTAGGTAAGCACTTTTGGATATAGTTTTCTTGAAACGTTCTCTCGCCCACCCGAGCTCCATGTTTTGCATCGTGCAGACGGAGTCTGCCAATAACCAGGGGGAACAACCTTCCCCGAACAAGGCGAAAGTTTCGCCAGCCCCATTCTCACTATTCTGTGTCGTTCCCATCCTAAAGGCGTGCACCGACAGAAAGACCAACCGCAAATAGGTGGCCATTCTGCTTGCATGCCACCTAATGCTTCACGAACGGATCTATAGCATCTGCAGCCCGTCCAAAGGAGGCGTGCCATGCCATCAGGATAGGATTTTCCGTGCCCGCCGCCCACACGCAATGCGGTGACACGACCCAGTCCGCTGGCGTCTGAGCCGGGCTGAGGGGAACGAGACTGAGACACGGGCCACCCTTTGAGAACTGACGGCCGGCCTAGTACAGATCCCGACCGACCTGACCTTTCCTGGAGGTCAGGGTACGCCTGGGGCGGCCGCCCGACAGATGTGCAGCTATTCGGCGCGGTCTGTTCATGATATTATAGCCGGGCCGCTGCAGAATTAGATTGTTAGTGCTTGGCGCTTGCAGACAAAGCTAAGCTTCATGTTAGCACCTCTCGCCTTTTCAGGCTCATTAGAAGTCGGCGAAAACAATCTCCTTATTTCTGTCGTCATAATCCCAAGCTGACTACAAATGAAGACATGCATTTGTATCCAAACTCACCTTATCCGGCGTCCTCTCTGTAATGACCGTCTCCAGTCCACACCGCCACCTTAATCAACACCTCTTCCGTGCAGCTCCCCGAGCCAGCCCACTCACTACCACGCACAGTCCAGTCCGGCGCCACACCACACGTGCCCCTCCTTCGCCCAGGGACCGCAGCGGCCGACTGACCGGCCGACCCAACTGACACACAGCTCCAGGCCCCCCTGCGCCGACGAGCCGCTCGTGCAGCGAGATCCCCAGCCACCGCGCCGACGGACCCGACTTATCCCCGCGCGCCGTGCGAGTCAACCAATCACAGAGCACCCCTGGCGGCCGCAACGGGAACTAATGTATGCCGCCTGAGAGGCTGCACTTGCAATAGCCACGTGCAGCCGTTGATGAGCAGTTGCTTGAGTGGGCAGGAGAAGCAATGGGGCCTTACTAATACTGCCCGTGTGAAGTGTCCCGTGTTTTTTCTTCCTTCGTTTGACCCGTCCTTATTCAGTTGCCACTCGCAATCAACGATGGTTACCAACGTTCAGGATCATTGCATTCCCTTGGCTAAATATTCGTTTTCCGAACACGGTTATCATGAACCACGGCGGCTGTCCATAAAAACCCAAACGGCTCAACGAATTGAGCTTTGGCTAGTCGCTCCTAATGCAGCTAATACAGCTGTAGCAAATGGTATCACAAAGAAACGAAACGTTATCGCTCGTTAGCGTATCGGCGAGCTCGCCGTTACCGCTGTCGATAAGCTCGATCATTTTCCATAGTTACACATGAACCCATTCGGATATCGAGCCTCGAAGTTCCTAGAACGCTTGACGTTGGTTAAACGTTGTTCGATGTCCTACCGGAGCTATTAGGACATACGACTGGCTAATGCCGATAACGAAATTAGGCGAGGCAATGCCATTCATGCATATACGAGGAACACAAAAAAAAATTGCAATGCACCTAAAGGAAAAAGCCAATTAGCATTGGCATTACCAAAACATATGCCTAACTACATACGTGCAAAAGAAACCGGGAAACCTAGGAACCTATAGGAAACACGGCTACAATGTTCGATTATCAACGATAGCTATGCCTATCAAATGTCCATTGGACCTAATCGATTGTCTGGTGATCACGATTGTCTGCGATATGCGTAAAAATGCCTCACACGCATCGAACTACAACATGAATTTCGTTCCATTACCAAATGCAACGCTTTACGACAGCCTACAGCATCAACTTGCAAGAACATTTCTCCAATAAATCCACATGTTTTATTATTCTCTTTTCTCAGCCGACTAACGGCAGACAGTTGTCATTGATCACCCCATAACGCTTCGCTCGTCATCTCCTTATACCAGGAGCGTCCGGCGCTGTTCCGTCACGGCCAGTGCTATTCCCGCGGCAGTACCGTACACTGGGCAGCACAGCCGTCCCGGCCAGTCCGTCTTGGAGTGGACACACCCCACTGCACCAGGGTTGGCAAATTTATGCCAGCAGCCGGTTTAAACCGGTTTAATCCATGGATTAAACCGGCTGGCATAAACTAATTTAAGCCACCCTGGTTTAAACCAGTGTGCACCAACATAATAAAAGCCACTTACGTTAACTTGTCGTAACATCACTTTGGTTAAACTGCTTCTTCTCTTCACATTTTCTATACACACCTTTCAATTATACATGCTAACTTGTCATGTTTCTTCCTGGGGGTTGACTTTATGTCATTCATTATTGATCTGTATCACCCTGTATTAAATGTTTATTTTGATTTGCAGTGTTTCACACAACTAGTTGTTTACATGGGTGGTTTATGGAATGAAAAGTCTTGGAGACAGCTTCAATAAAGAAACCAATTTCAATTTTATGAGAAGCTGTAGCAAACATGACCTAATGCCAAATGCATGGTTCAAGGATCAGTGAATGGTAAGGCCTAAGAACTATCATACAGAACATTGCCTATTTACTAGGGGTCTATTGCTTAAGCAGTCAGTGACACTTAACAAAGGAATTGACAGCACGGCCACCATTATAGGTTTCAAAGTTCATGTAAAAAACAATAATAAGTGTGATTAGTTAGGGACACTTGTTATACCAAGAAAACAACATGCACTACATGAAAAAACACAAACCATAGGAACATTCCAGATGATTTATAGATGATGAGTTGTTACAATTATTTCCTGTGCAATTAAAAAAAAATCACAGAATGGGTGATACTTACCATGATAAATAGTTTTTTTTTTCCTAGTGCTACTGGCCCAGTCCCCAGACGATTGGTCAGAATACATTTTACATGTAAAATAAAGTGAGACTTTCAACTGGTAAACCGAATGTTAAGATTAGAATGTGCTTATGCCTTATACCTACTTTGTTTCTTACAGGGGCGTCGCCGACGGGGGGGGGGGGGTCGGGGGGTCGTGACCCCCCCACTCTTGAAAACTGGGGGTGTCGACCCCCCACTTTTTGCGATGCTGAGTAGGTATGCTTTTTTAGCTTTTATGTCAGTGAAGCAGGCGTCAGCAACACCAACAAATACATCAGATTCAAAATCACTTCAAGAGCTCCCTAAAGCCAATTAGCCAATTACCTAAAGGTCAATTAGCTGTGGGCGGGGAACACCAGCACAACAATGTTTTTAAGTAGCCCCCATCCTAGTACCTTTTTATCCCTCAAAGGATTGGACGCGCCAAAACTGCCCCGAGTCTGATCGTTAAAAAAAAAATGGTCGCAGTCGATTCGTCGGATCAGTACCTAACTACAAAACTACAAACTAGCCTCAGCCCCATGGCTACCGTCACAACTAGCTGTACAGTGCACATGTAGGGGAAAGGGAGTCAGATGGAACCGTCTCGGGCTTTCGCAAAGAAGTCGCGCAAAAAGGAGCCGATTGCAACAAAACTTCCGGTGCGCTCGAGTTAATCACCTACTTAAAATAAATCGATATCCCTGATTCAAATAAAGATGACCTTAGTTCACTTTTTCATAACGTGCTTTTAATTGACAGGGTAGTTTTTGGAGCTGATTTTGAACTTAGCGCCCATCTGAACATTTAAGAAGTAGTTGTGTTGCTTATTCATTTGACATGCTAGGAAGCAATCGGTGGTGGTCATCCACTATTAGGTACTGGTCGATCTGACCTGACCTGATCTACCCCAAATGCATGGAGTCATCATATTCGTTCAAAACTAAGATAACATTCGTAATCAGAACCTCGAAAAACCATCACAACTTACATTCGTTAAGTTCTAGCAGGTCCCGAGTTTCTCTACTTATTGGCGATGACCTGAGTCCTGAGATGACTCGAAAACTTGTAAATGGGTATCATCGGCTTTCTCTCGTCACGGGCAGCATGCTCTTTTATCCGCAAACCTGTAGATCGATCAGGGGTCGAAAGCATGCCTCAGCGTTAGTTTAGTATACGTTATACCTACGTTAGCGACTGGGAAACCACCAATAGAAGGGCTACAGTGAAGCAGAAAACTATTCGATAGCTCTTTTAACGCTCTTTCGCTAGCTTCGCGTTAGATTTCATCTCAGGTCTATGTTTGGCCCATAAGAAGGCAAACAGCTAACTGGACAGATTCGTCGAAACATCTGCTTTGCAATAACTTTCGATTCCGAGAATTTGTATGGTATGTACATATGTTGTCTTGTCACCACCGTCTTGATCTCTTTGAGACGCGTCACATGAGTTAGAATTTGGCCATTCAGAATTAACGTTAAAACGACCTCAGGTCAACGCTATGTCCTGATCGAAAAAGGACCTCCTGCTGCATATGAATGGATCCGTGTTGTTGAGCTGAACAGTGAACGCCTTCCAGGTGCTGTCATCGCTCTACCGCGTCTTCGTCAAAAGTTGTAGAAAAAAATGCTGGTGGCCATCGATGGACATTTTCACTAATGACCTTTCGAGTCATCACTCGCCATAAGTTGCACCCTGTCCCTGGCAATGATGAGCTGATTTGTCATGGCTCCAAAGATATTTTGCGTTTCTGACGAACTTTTTCAAAGCAGGAGGCATTCGTGCTTTTTCTAATTTCTCATTATTTTCTAATGATGAGGTCACGTATTTGACCTGCCTTCAGATCATAGATGTAAATCCTGAGTTAGAATCATGAATTGCTGACACGTATAACCCCATACATTAGGTACCTATACAGTATACAGTGTACCAAATTTCGAAGTTATGGGAGAAAAGCTACAAGAATGGCGAGAGAGGAAAGTTTTTATAGAGGTATACCGTATAACTGAACTTGACATGGCGACCTGACCTTAAGTGACCAGTGATAATTTTTACGCAAGTGATGTAGGTAGGTATACCTACCTAATAGGTTATACCAAATTTGGCGGCGCTGCGCGCCGATTTTTTACACACGCACACACACACACATACGCACGCACAAAACTGGGAAGTGTCGCAAAAAAAAAAACACCCCTTCCCATCGGGTGAAGACTAGAAACCCGACCCCCCACTCAAAAATCCGTGGCGACGCCCCTGGTTTCTTAGATTAGTTACCTACTGACCAGATTGTCAACATAATCCAAATCACATGCAAAAATGTTGACATAATACCAAATGACACGGTATTGACTTCCTGCACTCTGCGCAGTCACCAACGAGTAAACTGATCCACAAGATAAGTTATAGTAGATGTTTTGACTGAAGGTGGTTTTTATTAATTTAAGCCGGTTTAAACCGGTTTAAACCGGTTTAAACCACTGGCTGGCATAAATTCAATTTAAGCCGGCTTTTATCCAACCCTGCACTGCACGGGGCGGGGCGGGAGGGAGAGGGGGACGCGGAGGGGGCGGGCCGCGGTAATCTGAGCCGCCCCTCGCCTATATTGGCCCATGTCCCGCGGGCCGGCCGTGTATCTGATCGGTTGCTGTCGCATGGGAGTCCGCTGGCGCCGCCCCAGCACCCGCCCAGTCCCGATGGCGGATCAGGAGCACTCGCTGCATGTGTGTATAGAAATGAGATACGGAAAACGGAGCACAGAGCACAAACAATGAGACGGTGGCCCGTCGCCAATGACACAGACGAGAGACCGAGCGACGGGTCACTGTGCAGTGCTCGGTCGCAACACGGGACTTCGTTCATCCACCGCTTCGGCAGGTTCAGCTGGGAACTTCAGCAAGTTCAGACTACCGTTCATCACAGTGCTCTCAGAGGACATCGCAGCAAAACCACCCGCGGACCACTCACTGCACAGTTAGTGTCATCACTACAGTGTCACTGCTCGGTTCGGTCACTGGGCGGTTAGCCATGTCACTGCGAATCCAGTTCACTCACTGTTCACTCCAGTCACTGCGCGGTCACTGCGTTCACTGCACGTTCACTGCACGTTCACTGCGCGGTCACTGAGCAGTCACTGCACGGTGGGCGGCGACACCTGATTGAAGACGCGCTCCTTGATGACCTGTGCCATCAGGCCGTGGATGACCTCAATAGTTGTACGCTCTGTGTCTTTATGCGCCTTCAGCAGCTTGTCTTCCATCGGCTTATCCTGCAAGGCGACGGCAGAGAAGAGTCAGCAGTGTTGCTCAGCTTGATATGGTGGGAGCCGGGTGGTTTAAAACGGATTGCAGAGAAAGCAGCGCCATAACTTTGCCGCAGAAATGATAAAGCGCGTGGGAATGCGGTAACCGCGCAGGCATGTTTTCAGCAAGTGGCAGCCATCAAGAAGACAAAGCACTGTCAAACAAGCTGGCACCGTAGTAATTCCAGAACAGCAGCAGAGCCATTTCTCAGGGAATATTTTATAAACTGATCTTTGCAGCCGTCAGCAAGATATATCATCGCCGACAACTCTGGCGAGCATCACTACTGTTTTTAACGCTGACATAAGATGCATCACGCTTGCATAGAACATTGGTTCCATGGGTAAAAGGAGCGTTAAGTTGAAAATAAGCAGTACAATATTACATGCGATGGGCGCCCGGTTATATTTCACTTCAAAACACGCAGCTTGGAAAAGTCCGACGGGAGCAGTCGAGGCCTTTGGGAACAAACAGCAAAACACCTAGCGGCGGTTACATGCAGCAAATGCCACTGGGAACTAGGCGGGGCCAACCCACTTTCCAAAACAACTTATTTTGCAAAACATCACCGAGGCCACGAAGTCAAACAACATTCATAACCAGTATCAGCCCATTAAACAACCCCAGTGAGTCTAAATACAGATCGTCGGCGAGGGTCCGACTTCCTTACCACATCTGGCGCCACGGGTCCGGTGTAGGAGGCTCTGGTGCACGAGTTCTCCGCCACCTCCAGCTTGCTGGACAGGTCGCGTATCTGGTTGGTCGTGTACTCGGCGTTCTGTAACAAGTGGCGTCGTCAGGCACGGTCGGAGAGCTGACGTGTTTGTTGAGCTGGCACCGACACATGTAGAGCGTGAGGAAGGTGTGAATGCAGTTTTATCGGGCGCAGAGTAGGTAAGCCGGCAAGGAACGTAGAAAGGAATGTGCACGGTAGTAACTGACGTAGTTTCGAAAATACGACGTATGCTTATGCAAGTAGGCACTTCAGTCAGGAGCAAAACACTGTATACAAAACAAAGTCATGCAGGTCTGAAAGAGACAACAAAAATTACAGCGGATAATCTTTCCATAAGGTTTCGATAAAGTCCTAAACAAGCGGACAGCAATCCTTTCCAGCAAGGCCAAGGGTGATGATCATAGATTGCTACACGAATAAATGATCGACCATATGACTGTCTCGTCAGCAGACAGCAGGACTAGCGTTGCCGGTATGTCTACAGATCACGCGCTGTGCCTAAAGCGAGCACACTCGACCCGCGCGGCCTGCACGCACCGATTCAATGAATATTTTGACGGTGTGCAGAGCACGCACGGCAGACACGCCCAGAACCCTTGTGCACAGTGCAGAGCAGGCTAGCTGTAAGGCAATGTATGCTGTCGACGGTGCACGGCCGTGCGTTCATCGTCCATCAGATACAGTGAGGAGCTACGGCGCGCCATTTTTAGCGCGCGCTGCACGTCGGCTTGTGTCGGACACCGCCATGCTGTCTGGGGTAGGTGCTCCAGCTCAACAACGCAGTTCTTAGGGACGAAATGACGGGATTAGTATGCGCGCAACTATAGTCAGTTTGGATATAATCCGAAACTTTATCGTTGTCCTCAGAGGCAAGAATAGTACAAAATCTGCCCACGTCAATTGTCAGCGACAAAAGCAAGGATCATAAAGGTCGATTTCGACACAATTGGGTTTGGATCTTCGCATCCAAATCTATCTTCCTCTACGGTTCCCGTACTATTCAATCGTCCAAATATCCCCTCATCTCACTGTCCAATCGACATGTAGGCGTGGCGTCTCCCCAAAACAATACAACTCTATTCTTTAGCAAAATTCATCATCATCCTTTCAAACACGTGTAACTATCAGTAAAACAATGCGACTTACCGAGTGTGACCATCACTTATCAAGTCAGTCCTGGTTATATACGAAATCGAGCGTGTTATGATTGTTCTCAGAGCAAATATCCAGTATACGGGGTTGACGCAATGTCACACAAAGTCTTCGCAAATATCTCTGGATACCCTGAACAGATAATGTCACACAGCTTGAGACAATTACTTCGAAACATACCCGGACAGTTTCGAGTCACCGATTAAGTGATATAAGGTTGCTGAACGGAGTCAGCAAAGCTCAGGGACCCGGGAACGATTTTCAAGTTGGGGGGGGGGGGGGCGAGCCTAAAATACCTGACATGATGCATATGAAACAGTGGCGTAGCTAGGGGTCTAAGGGACACGTACCCCTCCCCCTCCATCGGGTTCAAAGGGACCCTCGGGTCCGAGGGGCCCTGCGGCGCCATTTGACCGCTGAGGGCTAACGATTGCCATATTTCGACTTAGAAGTGCCCCATGGGGCTCGTTAGAGTACCTCATGGACCCCAAATAGCCACACTAAGATCTCCATAAGGGCCCCACGCCGGCTTCTAAGGGCCTCTTATGGCTTTTAAGGGCCCCTCGGTGGTCTCCAAAGGCCCGTTACTGGCCTCTTGAGAGTTCTTACCGGCCTATGAGGGGCCACTCCGGGGCATTTCCCGCCTGTGATGGTCCCGCATTTATTTTTTCTGAGGGCCCCATAACGGCAACTGTGAGGCCCTCATCGGCGCCTATAGGGCTCACGGCCATATCGGTGTCTCTGAGGGTTTCACACCCCCAACTCTGAGTGCCTACACCAGTGCCTAAAAGCCCTATATTGGCGGCTCCGTGGACCCAACCAACACCTGCGCATCTAAAAAAGGCCATCCACTGGTGACTTTTGAGGGCCCCACACCGGTGACTCTGAGGGCCCCACCGGCGTCTGACAGTACCATGCCGGTCTCTAAGGACCCCACAGGACTTCTTCTGTCGGCCTAAGGGCCCCTTGCCGGTCACTGAGACCCCCTGCCGGCTTGTAGAGAGCTCGCGTCAGCAGCTCTTTAGTCTTAACCCGGCGGCCGCTGGGCCTCCGCGCCACCCGCCGGCCGCTGGGGGGGGGGGGGGGGCATATAGTTGCCCCCCCTTTACTTCTGCGACGCTATCGTCGCAACGCGAAGAGAGAGAAGCGAAACTTTGCACACACCTTCCTGAATACCTAGCCGAGGTTGTGTCCAAATTTGGTGTCGATCCCATTTGAAATGACGTCACAGTGACGTCATAAGTGAAATTATAGATTTGCGACTCTCATATTCCTCACGATACATCAGATATATGGGACCGAATATAAAGGGTCGATTATTGGTCAGAAACTAGATGGAAGTGTAGTTAGATGTTTTAGGATGACAGCAGGTGCTATCTAGTTCATTTACAGTTGAGTTTCATGCTCAGCGTCATCAGAAACGGTCCATATCGGAAAACGACAAAACTTTATGACGTCACTGTGACGTCATCTTAGGTGCTACAACCACTAAACTTTCCTCAAACATTGCCTAGGTATTCATTTGAAGCTATGCCAAGTTTCACGTTCGTAGCTCATCAGATTTCGGAGATATTTCACAAAACGTAAAGGGGGGGGCAACTTTATGCCCCCCCCCCCAGCGGCTCGTGGGTTAAGGTCCCACACCCGTCTGTAACGGCTCCACACCAGCGTCTATGAGGGCCTACGCAACGCCTGTAAGGACCCTCACCGGCGCCTCTGAGAGAATCACACTAGCACCTCTGAGTGCCCACACCGGCACCTGCATTAATCCCACTGAGCTTTAATCCCATACCGGCCCTCCGAGGGCGCCACGTCAGTGCACTCATTGCCCTACACCCCTCCCTCACACCCGGAGCGGGTAAACTGTGATATACCTATAGCAACGATTTTACCACCGTTGTATGTACGTTATGTATTTTTCAAAGTTGACTCAAAATGGTCCATTATAAAATCTGGCCTGCCAAACTTATGGCCAAGGTCAGGCTCAAACCAAAGCGGGTTGACAATAGATGTTGTCAAATCGATACTGTACCAATCAGCAGAAACCATTCAGATGGCAGGGAAAATGCCGTGTGTTGATGTTTAGATGTATGAAGGAAACAAGAAGGAAAGAAGTCTGGAAAAGGGAGGAAAGATCCTTTCTCGCTGCCTCAATGTTGAGGGGGCGCCGCCCCCTCGTCTCCCAAGTTGGGGGGGGGGGCGCAAGCGCCCCCGCTGCCCCCCCCCCCCTGTTCCCGGGTCTATGGCAAAGCTCCACGTCAAAGCCCAAGTAGACGAAAATATGGATGATCTCACAAGAACCGGTCCGCATACTATCTCTAGCATTGCTTTCTTAGAGCGCGCACAACATGCTCATATTTAGAGCAATGAATGCTTGGAATAACCCAGTCAAAGCAGTTTGACCTGACCTATTCACGAGGTCACCGTGTGACCAAAGATATACTATAAAACTGAACGTATTATTTTTACTGACAAACATTTGTGTCCAAACTCCGCCGGTTGATCAATGCGGCTGGAGCGCGAAGCCCCACGCAGACAAGGTCAAGGACACCCATTGTGACCTGACCAGTGACCACTGACCGTTCAGACGCAATATATTTGTCAGAAGTGGGATTCGAACCCACGCCTGGAGAACCAGACTGCGACCTGAACGCAGCGCCTTAGACCGCTCGGCCATCCTGACAACGATCACATGGCCCTCCCCTCTTGTCAACAGCGCCGCTCAAGGCACATCGCCTGATGATAAGAGATGAGATAGGCAGCAGCGGGTAGCGACAGCTCACAGTTCAAACAGGAGCGTTACTAAAGCCAAATACACACCCATATCGGTTCTCATATCGGGCATTCCTTTCAGTAGACCAATCAAATGGGATCAGTCGGCAGTCCCTTATCAGCGAGAAGTCTTGACACTCTTTTTCACTCGCACTTCAACCCGTCAGCTGAGGATTTTCGAACCAAGATACACCTTGCACCAGACATTGCTCGTACCAAGCTGCAGTGTTTACCAACGGCCTCGTGCGCAGTCTACCACCGCGGTACACCAATCACGTGCCTGGTCTTACGAGCATGTCGGCACGTCCTAATGGCCGTCCAAGATCCGTCGCGGACCCAGGTCACGGAGGCGTGGCGGACGATGAGGGGACCGCGCTCGTGTAATCACTTCCCGTCGGCTAGGGCTTTCCAGAAGGTCTTCAATATCTGCGCTGGACAGAATACAGTGGAAGAGTGGCTGCGGGGCGATGAGTCGTGAGTGTGGCAGCGTCTAATTGGTGACGACTGTCATGACAGAGCCCGAGAGACGACTGTCATGACAGAGCCCGAGAGACGACTGTCATGACAGCGATCGGGCGGTGACAGGTCTAAGAAGAGCGGCCGGCGGCTGACGACTACCGCTATTACAGTTCCCAAAATGACAGGTGTCATGAGAGCCAACAGCGATATACCACCTGTCATGACAGCGGCCACCAAGGTGCCAGGACAGCCACCACCATGCAACCCAGCCTGTGACATGCGGAACCCACACTACCATTACCACTGGGATTCTCGGTACCTTCTCTCGGCAGCACCAAGACTCAGTCCAGACGGTATCATATCCCACCACGGCGATAGAAAAGGTCACGGACCGAAGGGCTTCCGTGAAACGTCAGGTCAACGTGACTAGAGAACATGGGAGCTCTCAAACACCGCCACAGGGCTAGGGATGCAGGATACAGGCCTCGCGGGATCCGGACACCAACAGAGGGTGTCCGCGGAGCATGGTTTCCGTCCGTCGTCACCGTCAGTTTACGTCACAGCAGATCTGTTCATTAGCTGTGTTTGCAGCTGACGGGCTGCTGTCAACGGTACGCACAAACGCAAAAGGGCGATGGGTGTAAAGTTTGCCTTTTCAT